TTTACTATAGCTATAATAGATATAATGAATAAGATATTATATCTAAACGTTTTAAATACTTCTAAAGAAGTAAAGAATAATTATTTTTAAAAATAAAGCTTAAAGTGTTTTTAAAAAGAATAACTAGTTAGAAGCTAAAAGAAATAAATACCTCTAAAAATTAAAGTTTAAATATATCTAAAAAGTATAAAACTAATACTTCTAAATGAAACAATAAATTATAATATAAAACTATAAAAGCATATAAGTTTTTTATAAAGCTTTTTATAGTAGTTTTAATAATATAAGCTTTATAGCTATAATATATATAATAAGTGAGAAATCTAAATTTAAAGTTTAAAATACTAATAATAAATAGATATAAAATGAGCTTTACAAATATAAATATTGTTTTATAGTTACAAAAGGTATTAATAAACTATAATACTTTACATTTCATAGCTATAATATATATAATAAGTAAATTATAAAATATGAAAATTAAATAATAGTTATGTATAGCTAAATTTATGTTAATATTTCTAAAAAGTTAAACTTAAAGTATTTCTGAAAAATTAAGTCTAGAACACTTCTAAAGAAGTAGAAAATAAATACTTCTAAAAGAATAATTTAATTAAGTAAGAGATTTATAACTTAATATAGTAAAATATAGTTTAAATAAGTTATAGTATCATATAGAATGAATAGATTATTACTTTTTCTTATTTTAAAATAGCTAAAAATAACGTTTCTTTTTAGATATTTAGTTAAAGATTTATATTTAAAAAGAAAAAGAAAAATAGTTTTATTATAACGTGGTTCATCAGTCAGCCGGCTGGACCAGTCAGCCGGACGTTTTTTCCCACGTACATAACAACATCTAGTATTTCTCAACCAGAACGCATTAAATCAACTATTAGTTGTCGCTATCAGAATCTCCTGAGGGTTCGACATCTTTGGAATAGGTTCGCGCGTTATGCCTAGTCTCACCACACATACCACAGCGTCTCCGAGCTGGCTGGGCTCTCTTTGATGGACCCCCCTCGTCGTCCTCTTGAGGTGCTGGACGTTTCCCTTTTTGTTTCCCTTCAAGCAAAACCTGAGATTCCTCTATACTAAGTGCCCCTCTAAGCTGGACCTGCGTTCTTTTAGCCCTCTAGCGCTTAGCAAGTGCTATATTCGCATCCTCAAGGGTATAAAGCTGATCAGTCAAAATAGTGATTAAGTGCGCTATTGCCTGCGCACCCTTTGATAATTGCTCAACTGCAGCAATAATTGGTGTTAGTGAGCTTCCTTGATAAGCAGAGATGCGACTTTTGATAAAGTTAGACTGCGAGATGGTTTATTATAGGTTAGAGGGTGTTTGCGACTGCTAAGGTGGAGGTGTTGAAGGGTTGGCTATAGGAGGTGTAGGCGTCTGTAAATATATATCAAGCTTTTTGATGATATGGTCTGGGTCCTATGGTGAAATTCCAGCGCCTTGGAAAGCAGACCTGATGTTTTCCTTATTAAAAACCTTGTTGTGGGCCTGGTGGAAGGCAATAAAGAACTCAGACTTAGTGATATGATTTATGGAGGCTCTGATGAATTGGTTGATTTTATCACTATATGCGCGTTTTAAAGGCGAATAAAGGGCAATATCTAATAGCTGTAGTAGATGCAATAAATATGCAGGCATACTGATAGTTATAATATTGTTCTGCTTGCAGTAATTATCGAACTCAGCTGATAAATAGCTCTTATAGCTGTTGATAATAAGTATCCGGTAGACGCCCTTCGTTTAGTTCTTAGTGTGTTTATCAAAGTGTTTAATCTAGTTAAGACCTATCTGATTATCTGTCTATCTATTAGCAGTAGGTTTGATCACCTAGTTGCCTGGAAAACCTAATTCCATGGTCCAACTGGCAAGGTGATATACGTCCTTGACGATCACAAACAGAGGGATGCACCACCCGCCCGAATTGACATATTTAATAACTATAGCCTATTCACGATTGCTAGGCTGGACAGACTTTGCTTTGCTGCGTCGATCGGCGCATGTAACCACTATTGACGCGGTGATCATGCCTATCATGAAGCTAGTGTCACGGGCTAGAGCCCAGATTGATATCTCCGGCTTCGCCGGAGCAGTTACCGAGATCCAGCTCCGTTGGACCCACTATTCTGCCGCAGTACGCCGCCTAACCCGGCCTGCTTCACCGCTGTTAGGTGCCTACTCTTGTAAAGTCCTTTCTTCCTTCTTCAGCTTAGAATAGTTAATCGACAGCACCTCTACATTGAACAAGCCTAGGGGGCAGCCCCTTACAGTTATTAGCTAAAAGCATTAAAGAGGCTAGGGGAGCTAAAAGGTTACCTAAAAGGTTTCCTAAAGGGGCTAAAGTACTTAAGTTAGATTATAACTAGAGAAGCTTTTAGTAACTATAAGTATACTTAAGAGTAACGCTAGTAAAGCTATAATAAACTAATAATAGTTATTTAAGAAGTTATATAAGTTATTAAAAATATAGAAAGGTAGGTATTAATATTCCTAATAGAGTAAAGTATTAAGTTAAATAGTAGGTTAAGATTATTATACTATAATTATAAAGAGCTTATTAAGTACTAAAATAGGTAAAGCTTATTTATCTAATAGATAATTTACTACTTTATTATTTTTACTTAACTTAACACAACTTAATAGTAGTTAAAAATAAAAGCATAAAGGTTAAAGAAGATCTCTATAATAGACTAAAGGTTAGTTACTTATAAAGAGAAGAGTACTAAAGGTAAGTATTAATAAGAAAGTAGGTAGGCTTAAAAAGTAATATTATTAATAAAGTAGTAGAATCTTAAAGATAAGAAGATAATATAGTAATATTATAAGAGAAATAAAAGAACTATATATTAGCGTTATAGAAGGAGTATAGATTATTAAGAATAAAAAATAGTAAAAAATTCTCTTATAACTAGTAGTTAGTAGTTAGTATTTAGTAGTTGAATAATAGGAAATCTTATAATAAAGCATATTATATACTATACGTATAAGTAGTTATTGTTAAATAGGCTTAAAGCAGCTATTTATTATTAATATTAACTTAGTAAAAAGGTAGTTAAAAGTAACTTAGTAAAGAAAGTATTTAAAAGCTATTAAAAGCAGAGTAATCTCTTATTTACTTATATAGCGTTAAAACTCTACTCATAAAAAGGTAAGAGGTTAAGCAAAATAGTTAAAAGTGAGGTAAGTAGCTAACTTTACTATTAGTTATAAGTTAATAGGTTAAGATTAATATTAAGGGTTAAGCGTATAGTAGATACTCTTTAAATAGGAAGTAGGAGTAATTACTAAAAGCAATCTAAATAAAATAAACTATCTCTTAGGTTATATTATAACTACTTTTATTAAGTATAAGATTAGAAGCTATAAGGGCTATTATTATAATCCTACTATTACTAATACTATAGGGAGATATTACTTACTGAACAGGCTGAACTGATCCTGAAGCTCATCCCTCTTCTTGGGGGTTGACCAAGGGACTGCTGATGTATCTGCCGCCCATTTTTCGCTTGCTTTGCCATCAGAGAGCCCTTTGCAGACCTGACCAGCTGGTTTGGCAGGGGTTGAAGTGTTCTCAAGCAGCAGAGGGCTCATGAGAGGTCTAGCCATACTGACAGGCCACAAACCAGTCTATTTCCAGCCACTGATGATGTTCTTGCTTGTCAGGGCTGCCTTACGCGCCTTGCCATAGCATATAACGAAATTTCTCTTGCCCACAACTGTACCAGCATCCTATTCAGCCAGCAATCCAAGCTCCTTCTTGTATGCTGCCTTGAGGGGCCCAAAAACCGACTGATCAAGTGGCTGAAGGACGTGTGACGTGTGTGCTGGCAAGAACAGCAGATGTATCTTGTTCCTGAAGCATGTATACATAAAAGCAGTAGTCTTATGGCTTCCATGACCATCTAAGATCAATAATCTAACCTCTGAGGGGTCCCCTGGCTGGGTTGAAGGGATAAAGACCTCTGTTAACCACTTAACAGCTGTAGAGTCTGAAGTCCACCCGTTTTCTGTAGCTGTGAACTTCCAGGATTCATATGGCGTCAGATCTAGAGGGAACCACTGCTGCTGGACATTCTTGCCCTTGTATATAACAAGTGGAGGCAGTGCCTTGCCAGTTGCAGAGATACACTCGATCAGAGATGTCCAAGCATGCGATCCAGGCTGTTTCTTGCGGATAGAACGAGTTTCTGATGATCCAAGAACAAGCCCATTTGATCCTCTGCCTTCTAGAATACCAGTCTCATCTATATTGTATCGATTGGAGGCCTTGATGGCTATGATCTCAGGTATGGCGAGGTGTTTGAACCATTGCCTGATTACATTAGTTGAAGCTCTATTGATGCGCTGGGAATCGATTGCTCTGCTTCTTTGGACCCTTACAGATGGGTTTCTCTTAATAAAAGCCTGCACCCAGTTCTTTCCAAGAGGCTGGGAGTCTCCATGGACCTATAGGATGCGTTCAGCAAAGTCCTTGAGTTGTTGATGGGTTGGAGGCAGGCCTAGGGCAGCCTGAATTCGAACCCATTCAGCTAGGTGGCTTTCCTGGGTTGGAGAAAGCCTTTGCAGATCAGAAAAGGCAATATCTCGTGGCTGAGCCCCTTGAATTCGACGTAGCAGAGTGGTCTTTGGCACACCATACTGTAATGAAGCTTTTCGTAGGCTAGTACCGGTTGCGATAGCCTCAAGTGCCTGAGAAACTTCATCTTCGGTATAATCAACCATCATGTAGTTATTATGCTTCGTAGAAAGTTTGGTAACGATTGAGTAAAGAATGGTGAAGTTATTCAAGTTTGGAAGTGGCGGTGTGCATTTTCGATGAGGCATTTTGGGGTGGTCCGGAAGTGGGTGTGGGACGTTACTAGTTTGATCCCGCTGTGATACAATTAATAGTCGTTGATCGACTCGCGTGGTGTGGGAAGCTCTCGGTAGTAATCAACCTCAGGATCTCTTATCTTACATTTCAACGGAATATTCAGCCATAACAATGCCTCTGCCACGATATACATACACCGGCCCCACCGACCACACTATCATCCCTGACCGTAGCAGTGTCAAGGGTAAATCAGTCATCATCACCGGCGGTGCGAATGGCATGGGAGAGGCGTGCGTGCGTGCGTTTGTTGCAGCTGGTGCATTTGTTACATTTGGTGATGTAAACTTGAGGGGCGAGGTTATTGAAAAAGAGTTGAACGCTAATGCCGAGTGTTCTGCTTTTGTAAAGTGCGACATCAGGGACTGGGACCAGCAAAAGCAATTGTTTGAAACGGCAAAGAGCCGAAGCCCTTAAAGGAGCATAGACATTGTGATCGCTAATGCTGGGATCAGCCGAAGTTCTGGCGACAGTCTTTGGAACCTAGAAGATCCCAACGAACAGCCAACGAAGCCAGATCTCAACATCGTAAATGTCAATCTCATGGGGTCCTTGTACACGTGGAAGCTTGCAGTTCACTACTTCAGAATGCAGCCAGATACCGAGGAGCGGGACAGATGTTTCATCATCACGGGCAGCATGGTGGGCTGGATAGATTCTCCTGGTAATTGGGAGTACACAGCAACAAAGTACGGGCTTCATGGCTTTATGAGAACCGTGAGACGCTCCAGCTGGGAACAATGCATCAGAATCACCTACGTTGCCCCCTGCTGGATCAGAAGCGCGATTAGGACTGCCGACTATGAAAAGTGGTTGATCGATCACGGAGTCGAATTTGGCGAACAGGAAGACGTTGCAAACTCCATGATGAGAGTTGCCTGCGACAAAACCATCAACGGTAAGTGTAATTGGTCATTTGAAGATTTCCATCTCAGCTTCTAATAGCAGTAGGGCGTTCTTTAATGATAACTCCTCGATTAATTGCGAAAGAGGGTTACATGGACATCGACCGGGATGACTACAAGGATGTTCCCGAGGACAGCTATCTGAAAAGACTTCAAGAGTCTCAGCTGATCATCATTGAAGACCAGTGGAGAGATAATTACAACGTGAGAATCTACAAAGATTAAGGATTCACATGCCACAATCGAAAATCCGAATTTGAACTCTCTATTGGAAGCAAGACCGACCGTAACATAACATTCTCAGATGTTATGTTCAAAAATATACACAGCTACGTTTTTTTCCAAGGCTGTTCTTCAGGAGATGTGCTAGCGCTTTACACAACATTTTCACTAGGCAATTACTTCTTACCTTTAATCCACTTTTAAATTATCGATCCTCACATACATGAGTTTCCTCAAAAGTGACTAGCACCTTGTTTTAGAAAAGGACCAAAGAAATATGCATTCATGACATGCTTGTCAAACGTCTTTATCTTTATAATACCAAACCCAGGTCTTTTATTTCCACACGGACCTCTAGTCATCTTCATGACCTATTAACACACCCCAGGCGCTCTTGATCGCTGGATCTTTCAACCCCTTAGTTTCCCCCTTCAGTAGCCAGATATCATGATTCTTATGAGCATCTTCCCAGCCACTCCGATCTTTATCCTTGTGCTCTACTCTAATATCGCTGCCCATAGCTCCCCACATGCCCAACTTGTCACGATAGCGCCACTGGACGACTGGTGGAGGCCAAATGCTATACGCTCGTAACTGATCACTCTTGATCATGTCGTTCATAATCACGTCGACCGGAAGGTTGAGGTCAAACCCACTTCGCAGCAAAAGTTTGGCGGCACCTCGAGCACTCACAGCATACGCGCCGGTACAAGCCATGCCGCCAGCTCTGCGCAACATGCGACGGCCACCTTTGACACCCACTCCATGCCACTCTCCATGCTCTCCACTTGTGTATGGATCGTCGTATTTGACCTTCTCTGATTTCCACGGGTCGCCGTCAGCGCAGTGGCCGAAGGTAATCAAATCCCACATGTTGCTGTGCCACGGATCTACCTGAGCCTGTTCTTCGGAGCTTCGCGTCGGGTTGAGGCCAAGCAGCCCAGTTCCATTCAAAAGACCTGGCAAATGGGATGCTGCGAGGCGCATGACGTCTTTGATATGGATGTCCCAGGTGACGTCGTCTTCCATGATCAAGACAGTCTCCACGTCTGTGTGCAGCAGACCTCTCCATACCTAACAAATCACTTGTCAGCAGGTTTGGCATGGGTTTCATACGGCCAGGGGTTCGAACATTTGCGTGAGATCGCCAACATCCTTTTTCGCCAGCCGATAAAGCCTGGCCAGGTTCAGTATTGGGGATACTGCTGGGTGGTAGTCCAACTTCTCCTAGTCGACTTCCGTTGACCCCTTCAACGATCTGGATGTCAATCTTCGATAGGAAACTTTGGACAGTGGCGGCATCGGCTTTATCTTGTCGAATTGGTAGACTGATCATCTGGATGGAGCCAAAGCCCAGAGTGCGGTTGGCTGCAGCGTTCACGGCGAGGACAATCGGCGGCTGCGATCCTGTTTTAGCGGCGGAGACGAGAATGATAACAAATACTGTCGCAAGAACTGCTAGCAATAAGCGCCGGTTGCTGAATAAACGGGCTGGAACATGTTCTCTCATAATCTTGAAGATGTTGCGGTCGAGGAAGGCCGGTCTTTGCGATTCGTAGATAGGTCTGAGAGATGACTGTGACGCCGAAGACAAACGAGGAAGATCCTCAGACTCCTTTGAACCAGCCCACGGGCTTGCTCGAGACATTCTCACTTCGGTAGATCCGATCTTCACGTCTTCGGCTCGAAATTGTTGATGTTGTCAGTTCATGAGATGTGAGGGACCTTGCCAGGGTGCTTCCTGTTCGTACCAATGTGACCGGATAAAAGAGGAAACACAATCGAAAAATCAGAAAGTAGAGGAATCTGCGTCTCAAGGCTTTCAGGGCACCGAGTCAACGTCTTGTCGCACGTAATCAAACTATGTAACTAGCAAAGCCTGCCTTCCTATTTGCTAATAACGCGAAGAACCATGACAGGCCAAACAGACGGGCCAAACGGGAGGGTGCATAAGAGGTGTTGAGCATGTACTACATCCGTCAGGATAACTGGATCAGCTTCTCGAGATTACAAGCTAGTTACCCCTTGAGGATCGTGTGCCCGAAATGTCCCCCATCCTCAGCTGCAGAGACCTTCAATTTGCCCCAGGCCTGCATCGCCTCGTACCATGCGACGAAGCTGCTGTGGTCAGGTACGAGCAAAAGGCAGCGGCTAGAGCATTGCGTTCTGGACCCTTCGCAGGGGCAGTCTTTCGATATGTCACGCGTGGGTTTCGACAAGTTCGTGAAGCTTATCTTCGAATCTAAGCTGCGTGGAGCCGCCCTATGTGATCGGGCAACGGCTGTGGATACGACGGCAGGGGTTGATGTTATTGCAAAGTCTTCCGATTTGGTAGCTCTCGGAATCGAGCCGAATGCGGCTGCCTGCAGCACTGCCACAGAGACCTTGTCTAGAACGTTATCGGTAAAAGGCTGGGCAAAGAAAACCAAAAGCCTTGTCATTGCCATAGCATCCAGGCGAAGACCTCACATGCGGTGGTGGGGCCGATCACGTTACGGATACATACCGCGTTTACAGTGATTGGCCGCAGCTGCTATGTAAGTAGACACGGATAAATGTACGATTTCTTTCAAGGGACTGGAGCCAAGACTGTGGTGGACAACGGACAAGGTGCCTATGTAATGGATGTCCAAAATGCAGCTACACACATAAGAGATCAATCATTAAGGTCTCCTGCTTTCTCCTATGTTGCAAATGCAAATCCATCGGACTGTTCTTTCAATGCAACGCAAATCGAGCCCCAGGCGGCAAACTGCGAAGAAGAAAACTTAGAAGGGAAGAAAGATGCGCCAGCACACATGCAAATGGACTGTGCTTTACTGTCATGTCAGCCCACACGGAGGACACGAGACCCTACAACTTTTGACAGCAGATGTTCAAGTTGCCCCAGAACCACTAAAAAGACCACGTGGGCCGCAGAGATTACCAAAAGTTCCCCGACACGAGCTCCGCCATCCGAAGGTGGTCGAGAACGAGCGTGCTTATCCGCCGAGCGTCCACCATTTAAAGGGCTTAATTTCCAGACACCCTTCACGGTGAATTGCTGAGACCCGGTAACTCTTTAAGTGTTTTCCAGGGATAGAGTATTTTGCACGATGCGCTAGACACATGGAATATTCTTAGCATGAAGACTACCTAAATGAAAAGCAGCTCCTGACGCTGCAGGCGCGCACCATTACATGCATATCGACAATCGTAAGACCACCGTGCTGAATCGAAGACTTAACTGCGAGCCTCGGCGTGGCCACCCGAAGTGCCGGGTTGCCGGCCCACCTTGGCGCCGCGCCGGGCAACGCGCCGAGCGCCGGTCGGAGCGACCATGTGGAAAGTTCGGCCACGCGTCATACAAAGGGCCAAGTGCCATGATGAAGTCATCGTGGAGCAAAGCCTTTTCAAGCTGACGCGTTTCCGCACCAGTTTTGGCCATCGCCACGACACGTATAAGATGAACTGCAAAGAGACAGTATGATTTGATAGTGCGGCAAGTAGTGTAAGTTTCTCCATAGCCTCAGTTCTCCTTGCAGTGCAATCAAGAAGACATTTCTGCCGAAACTTTTTTTCTGTTCATCCCGACGATCCATTTTTGTGTTGCCTGTCTCACGGTAGGAGATTATCAAGGTTTGACAACCAACGTGCCTCTGAAAATTCAAATCCTTGAACAGCGCAATGGTAAGATTCTGCGCACTTTACAAAGATCACGTCTGACGTCGCGTCGCAGGCAAATGGACGCGGAAGACGACTCGCAACCGGTGCGATCATCGGCATAGCGATTGCGGGCTTCATCTTGGTTGCTTTTTGCGTACTATGCTGCTATTGCTGCTGCTTCAGGAAGAAACGCCAACCGCGCCAGCAAACTATCGGCGGCAGGACCAGCATGTTCTCGCGATTCACATCCGGAAAGGGTCGCGGCGGCGGTCCGCAGATGATGGAGTCTGGATACGGACAAGGCTACGGGCATGGGTATCACCATAATATTGCGCAACCCCAACCCGCATACAATTACCGATGACGAAGATTTTCAAGCCAATTGTGAGATGCCATTCCTAAGAATTAGGAGAGCAGCATTATCTGAACAACATTGACGGGAGGGAAAGTCTCAGCAATGGACACGTAGGCTAGGCTTCACATGTAATCAACGGCGATCGTAATCAAGTCGGCCAGAGAAATTTTAGATGTATACTCAGATGAGTTACTTATTTTACACTAGATACTACTCATATTCAGAAGATATGTGGCGTGAATATGATTAAATATGCTCCGTCTCGTGGGCCTGCTTTTGCTCCACAGCTTCGACTCTGCGTTCGAGATCGTGAGTCTCGACGGTGCTGCGATCCATGATAGGAACAAAGAGAGGAGCTTCCGTGAAAAGGTATCTCATCTCCTCCAAAGGACGTTTCGCGGTCTCAGGGAGGAAGCACCAGAAGAAAACAGCGTTCGTAAAATTGCATACCTGCAGACAGCACAATCAGCTTCCCGTGTTTAAAGTAGAGATTAGTTGCGCGACTTACAATGAACAGAATGTACCACCGCCAGCCGATGCCGCTCTTGTCGTCTAGCGCCACCGAGGTGGTCTGCCCAATAAGAGTGTTGAAAGCAAAGGAGGTCATGGTAGCGATCGAGACACCCTTGGAACGAGTCTTCATGTCGAAGATCTCGGCAGGGATAATCCAAGAAAGGGGCCCACAGGTAGCACTGAAGCTGAAGTTGTACAGCCAGGTCATGGCAATGAATCCCCAGGCGGCACCTCCAGTAGCATGTTCAGAACCAGGGGGAAACTTGGCTAGTAGGATTGTGGCGATGATGAAGGTGATGCAATTGCCAAGATTACCGAAGATCAGAGGCCATCGGCGACCGGTCCTGTCGACAAGCATCATACAGAGGAACTGAGCGACGAGGGCAATGACAGATGATATGGCCTGGTAGCGGAGGGTCTCGTCACCGGCAATTCCAATCTTCTCGTAAATCGCGACCGAATAGTATTGGATCGCACTGGAGATCTGGTC